GTACAAAAGTGTACCTTTTGAAAAGGTACAGCGCCAGTGACAGCTTTTGTACCTTTTTTCTGAGAGTGTATGAATGCCTATCTCTGTTTTGCATGCACAAATGCAAATGCTCTAACACGATCCCCGTCGAGTCGACCCACGAGTCCCATACTTTCGCTCAGCATTTGGGAGTAACAGCTGCAATACCTTTCCATTACAGTCAGGACAGAGCGACCCATCACTCCAGTGGTGTGTGAGGAACAGGAAGTGACAGACTGTTTTTCCCCCCATCCCTTCCTTTTTGTTCAGTCCAATGAGTCTAAATGTGATTGACAGCAAAAGGCATTTTAAGCCCAGTCACAGTTCTGCAAACCGCAAATGTTTGTACTGCACACCAAATATTGCATAACAAGATTTTAATGACAATTGACAGCTTGAGTTACTGGCTACGTATATTATTATACATTTTATTTTCTGATGAAAGGCTAGCTATAGAGTTTTATGGGTGTTTGTCAAGGTCATCTTGATAGACATTAGCTTTGCTTTGAAATAATTCTAGGTTTTGTATTGGAGTAAAAAAACATACTTGCATTTCTTAATATGAATCTACTATTTAAAATCTTCCATATGTGGAAAAAATAAATTTTTATAAAAAAAAAAACAAAACTATTTTTCTCCATTTGCTGTACATCTATATCCAATGGAGGCCTAAGTAACATTAAAACAACATTATGGTAATTTTTTTTTTTTTTTTTACTAGAATTGATGAAATGCAAGATGTGTTTGTATGAAACAAGAGACCGTGGAGTGATACTAGAGAGACACACACCAGTTGTAGTTACCTGGAAAAGCTGAATGCTACGATTGACCAATCAGAATCAAGTATTCCAGAAAGCTGTGCGATAAATGCCAATAAAAACAATCATGTTAAATAATAAGATAAGGCAACTTCTCTTCTCTAAGAAGAGTTAACTTCTCAGAGTCTTAAGAAACCGTGATGTAACAAATTCTTGCTGGATGTCCACCCACTCCCTCTCGCTCTGCATGACTGTGCTTCCCACGGGTTTCTGTCATAAATGTCTTGCCGAACCTTTTCAAACATGCAGTCTCAAACTGAAGCATGTCTAGTCCTGCTGAGCGGCCCTTTCACAGTGCTTACGCAGATCGTGCCCCAGACAGTGCTGAGACTTGGACCTAAGCTCTTTTTCAGTTATCAGATTACATGCAAATGAAATAACAAACCTTTATTAAGTGTCCATGCCCAACTGATTTTACCATCTGTGCTTCAAGAACACACACAATTAGAGAGAGATCCATTTGAAGCAAATATTGAATGCTTTAAGTGCATGACATCGATTTAAGTACATCTCTGCTCGGCCTTCACCGAGGTAACAGGAAACAAGTTGCACTAGACAAACAGCTAAAGTAAGGCGATGTTCATACTATTTTTGAAGTGTGCAGTTTGTATAATGTGGACCGATGTATCTGTACAAATAAAACATACAGATGATTTATACATTTGCCAAAATATGCCAGAAAGTGCAATGTGCTTAATACATGACTTGATCAAACCACCAAATCACACAAAACTACACTCTAAAAAATGCTGGGTTGTTTTAACCCAATTTTGGGTCAAATATGGACAAACCCGAAATGTTGGGTTAAAAATGTAATGTAAAAATTTAACCCAACGGCTGGGTATATGAATTTAAAAATTGCGATGGTCCACTAAAGACATTCTACAATCTATGAGTAACTTTGCACCTACTGTACATGCAAACTAACTCTCAGTAGAGTATTAGTAGACTGTAAGGTTAGAATTCTGCATTAGGGATCGGGTGAGTAGCATAAGTTGACTTGTAGTTGTAAAGTTACTTCAATAGAATGTCTGTTGGGGACCATCAAAATACAGATAGTCTATTAATACTCTAATTAGAGTTTGTTGACATAGTTGTAGAACTATGTTATAGTTAGTAGAATGTCTAAAGTAGACCATTGAAATAAAATATCAAGTTTTAATGTAAAACGTTTTTTTTTTTTTTTTATGAGAACTGGCATCCACTTACTGAATGCAACGCAGTAATGTGAGAGTGCAGCATTCTACGTGTCATTGCATGTGTTCTGTTTAGGCTTTGATAAATTATAATTATGACATTAAATGTCACAATTATTGCATAAAAGGTCAAAATGAAGACACCAAGTCATAATTATGACATGCCAAATTGTCAGTCAAAATCATGACATTAAAAGTCTAAATTATGAATCATACTAAGTCATAAAGAGATAAAAGGTCAGGTATGACAGGCTTCCATAACAGGTTTCATGTAGCTACAAGTACCACATTTTCTTTTTTTGAGTATGTTCTGTATAAAGTATGAAGTGAGATAAAAAGTTTCACAAATAAATTACAATGAACTAAGCTTTACTAAATAACTATTACTGGTCCAAGCATTCAAACGCTAATGTTAGCGCTCTCTGGTGTAAAACGGCAGCAAAACATGGGCTGGTAGAATTGCTCTTTGGGGAAAATTAATTGAAGGACAGAATATATTTGCACCTCATGAATACTTCACAGCATTCCAGAGAAAGGGCAGTCATACAATACTAGTATCTTTTGCTTCAGAAGATGCATTCATGTCCAATTTTAGCATTTAGGAATAGCCCATTAATGACCCCCAATAAAATCCAGATGAGACATTATTGCATTATTTTTCTTTCAGTATAGCCGTCAGGTTGACCAATTTCTAGCCAGCTCCACACAGGTCCCATTCTGCAGCGTCATTGATGCAAGGCACAGGCTAATGATGAACCAACACGCTCGTGTCAAAGCACACAACGCTGAGCAAATGGAAGCGTGTGAGAGACTAGCATGACGCTGGGTAATTTCAGCATCTGTTGCAGGACAGAAAACCAGATGCAAATGAGGGGTTTATTGTTAGTCACGTTGCAGTGCATCTTGCGTGAAATCGGATTAGCTTCTACTTTAGTTAGGATTTAAGATTAAAGAATTGAGGAGAGGGGCAATTTTCTTTTCTCATATTAATGAGCTATGGCTGAAAAATGCTCTGGTCCCATCAAGTTATTTGTAGCATTTCCCAAACACAATTCATGAAATTAAATTATCTAATAAAAAAAAATCATGTGAGAAATGTACTGCTCAAAATGTGATGAAATTGATGCAGAAGTAGTATACTATTTTATTATTTATTTAACCAGGATATAATCTCTTTTTCAAGGGAGTCCTGGACAAGACAGCAGAATAGTAGTTAAAAAAAAATAAAATAGTACACAAACATTTGGCAATTGAACATCATCTCAACATAATCGCTCAGTAACAGCACATGTGCATTTAGTACTCAAATAGTCCTTTATCCTAATTTTAAAATGGTTAATTGTCAGTAAATATACTCAAATAGCTGAATCTGCCATTTAAGGAAAAAGGCGCAAAACTGTTAAAAAGTTTGGGTCAGTGAGTAATAAATATTTTTTATTCTGGGATGGATTGGATTGATTAAAAAGGTGACTATACACTTATAATATACCAAGTTTCAAATAAATTATTTTCTTTTAAATTTTCTATTTATCAAAGAATTTTAAAAACAATGCATGTAATATTTCATAATATTGTCGTTTTTACTGCATTTTTTTATCAAATGTTGAGAATCTAAAATTTCTGTATTCTGTGTATAAAAATCAGTGTATTTTAAATGATGAAGGTTTCAATCTTAATTCTTGCAACCATTTACAGTTATGAGCGTGAGATAGTACTGCAGCTATATCATTTATAACGCACAAATATTCCTGGCTGGCTAAACTTTTTTTTTTTAAATGCATGTATAATTATACAAGCATAAAAAAGTAAAAAATAAAATAAAACAGAAAATAACAAAAATAGATGATGTATAGGATATCTTGCAAGAAACTGTTTGAATTTCAATCAACCGAAGAAGCACAAGAAAAGTCCAGGTGCATTCTTAGCATTACATTGTCTTTCATTTGCTCACACATGCCGAAAGTGCGAAGTTTAAAAACGAAACCGAGATTGTAGACTGCTCCTTGGAGCAACAGTGCATTTAAAGAAGCGCTACACAGCTGTGTTTAACAGGCACACAGAAACGGAGACGCCAGAGGAGCAAGGCAATCAGTCCTGCCCACACAAACGCAAGCAAACACACACACTGTCATTTGTGCAAATGTCTGTTGTCAGTGCAGCTAGCAGGGGAGAGCTGGTGTGGCCAGCTGTCTGTGCGGGTTAAACGAGGCACGGGAGATGAGGAAGAGGGGGCAGACCTGTGGCCCTGCCACACTAACTCACGCTCCATTCATATTGACAGACACAGGGTTACACTAGACCATCGCCTCCCTGACTCAAACCAGCCACTGTAACGGGAAAAAAGGACAGAGTGTCCATGCGCTAATTAAAAACGCTCAAAGCGCACAGTGAGAGAACATCAGAATCTAACGAGTTTAAGAGAAATTGCTATGATTACTGTAATATAACGTGGATAATTAAAAAACAAGTCAACGGCTGCTAAAACACACTCCCTTTAGAATAAAGTTAATTTTATTTTAATCCATTACCCATCAAGAAGCCACATTGTTAATTTAATCTGACAACAAATTACATTTTATTTGCAAAACACATTAACTGAAAAGTGTATAAATGTATTCTATATGCCATGTGCAAAAGTTTTAAATTAGATATTTTGTTAACTTGCATCAACAAAGTTTCATTAAAAACTGTACAAATATATTGCTCAATTAAGTCCATGTTCACTAATGTATTAACCAATGCAAATGAGACCACCAAATTACATTATCAAAATAGCAATTTGTCAACGGTAAATTACAAAATATTACAATCCCATTGGCGTAATAGTTTATTAAAATCACTCGGGTAACAATTTCAGTAAATATGGTTATTTGTGAAGCTCAATAAATAAATCAAGTCCTCTAAAGAAATGATTTAATTTGAATCGGTTGCTTTTACTGCATGCTAAAAGAAGTGCAAGACAGCTCTATACGCTTAAAGAAACCTTTAATGAATCATACAGGTCAATTTTAAAGGTCACCACAGCTAGGAAATAGAAAAGAGTCTAAACAAATGGTCCAGAAAGATTGATACTGATGTTTCTTCATTGAAAGATGAAATACTGAAATGCTAGGTTTAATAAGGAGTGTCTCTGCACAGGGATCGTAGCCGGTTACAGCTGTGCATTAACGTTCAGAAAATAGGAAAAGGGAAATATTTGTACTACTTCACAACACTTCAAAAATTAAAAGCTTTAAAAGATAAGTAGACTAAACAAGATTAGCTAGAAAAATCACACAGCGCTTAAAGTATTCTAAAAGGTAAGATTTTCTGCTGAAGTCTGTCCAGGGGTGACATATCCTTGGTAAAAAAAAGAGAGGAAATGTAATGAATTAATGACTATTTCCACACACAGAACAAAGAAAACAAAACAGAACTGTTTGAACCAGGTAAGAGTGCTGCTGCCATCTACTGGTGCATTTGTAACTCAAGAGGACACACAAGTTGAGTCCCAAATTATCCACCATATACAAAGCACCATGTACTCAACCATCTAGTGTATAAATGTTGCAAGGTTATTGTCATTCAGCCTCTTCACTACATTATTAAACCTGAAACAGTTGAGAGCATGAAGCATCCAACGCTCCACACTTGCAAAAACACATACTGTCTGAGTAGGCACCACATTTGAATTAAAAAGTATGTTCTATTTAATATGAATGAAATTCAGACATCTTGCCATGTAACAGTCACGTGACCTACCCTGGATCAGCAGAGTCTCTTGACAGGATGTGCAACTCCATAACTGAGGGCGATGCAATATATAGCCAACGATAGATTAAAGATGTATATGAAGCAGCTACTGATGCGATGCGATACACCCCATGGCATCATGGGATAGTAAAGTGTCAAGCAAACGCGAACTGCAGAATCTTGCCGGTAGTAGGTCATCTAAGGACTTTCCGCCTGAAGTTTTTTGAATATTATGCATTCGGACATACTACTCTGTTGGTGTACTGTTTTTCGCATGATACTAATTAGTAGGGAAGCATCCCATTTCAGTTTTTTCAGTTAAGTATACCATTTGGGTATTAAAAGTACGCAGTAAGTAAAAAAAGTGTACTTTTCTCTTTTTGGAATTTTCAGTGTGAACGTTTTACCCACTTTTATAATACAAGAAAAGTGCATAGTATGAAAATTAGGATGCACCTCTGGTTAAATTTTAGTGTGTTCAAGTGCTTACAGAGTTTCCATGGAAGAGTCCGTGGTGCCCGGAGTCCATCGGATAAACTGATGGTGGTAGATGGCTCTGGCCTAACAAAAACATGAGCACAAATTTCCGTAAAGTAAATACACATTTTGCCATTAAAAACACTCCTATACTGGCTTATTGTGTAGAGACAACTGTAAACAAACTATTTCTAGGTTAATTTCTCCAAAAAACAATGCTTGTCCAGGATGGTCACAAAAACCCATTAGTGATGCAGCAATAACTGAATGCTTAAAATTATCAACATTTAGATGCCCCTTTTTCAATTTGTACAGTTCTTGTGGTTAGTGTTATAGGAATCAAACTTAAATTCATTGAATATATGAAGAGTTCAGATGCAAAAGCCTCTAAATGCCATTTGAAATTTTCTTCTTTAATGATGATTTTTTTCAAACTTGTATATTTAAGTTCAGTAATTTCACTTAAATAACAATTAATAGGTAATCTTCATTGCCATTTAAGTGAAATCACTGAACTTAAATATACAAGCTTGATAAAAATGATCATTCTAGAAGAAAATTTCAAATGGCACTTAGAGGCTTTTGCATCTGAACTCTTCATATGTATATACCATCTTGAATATATGTGCCATTACTAAACATTTACAAAACTCCATATAAACAGTGTTTTGTATAAAAGTAGAAAGAAAAACGAACGAACAAGGACTCACTTGTTTTGAGCAAGCTGATTGCTGGATTCACCCCAGACAAATATGGCAGCATTATCATCAGTCTCTGCAATCACATGCCCAGAAAGTGATGATTTATTCATTGGAGTTGAACCAAAACACAGAATTCAGAAACCATATCGTAAATACGGTAGAGTGACAATGCCAAAAAGTAGAAAGAGACCTAGAATAAGAAGACAAATGCATAAAAAAAAAATAAAAAATAAAAAATAAAGAAGTATGGTTACAGACCTGTTTCCCAGTCCTCATTAGGTGAAGGGTTTGTGCAGGTGTTAACGGGCACCTGGAATTTCTCCAGGACCTCTATTTTCCCTGGACAAAAAAAAAAAAAAAAAAAAAAAAAAAAAAAATTATATATATATATATATATATATATATATATTATATATATATATATATATATATATATACACATATATATATACACATATATATATATATATATATATATATATATATATATATATATATATATATATATATATATATATATACACAATGTAAAGTATATATATACAATGTAAAGCTCAAAGATTATTTAAATAACCGGCTTAAAAAAAAAAAAAAAAAAAAAAAAAAACTTAATTTCACAATTTCATTTCATCTATTAATTTATTAAAACAGCATGCACGATAAAGTTTCCAAAAAAAAAAGTCACATTGCATGACCATTTAAATTACCTGCCAGATATAATAGCTTTAGAACTCATTGAAGTTTAATTGTACCATTTAATTTACAAATCTCCGTCTGAAACTTTAAAAGGACTAACACGTTTTTCAATTAATCACATTTCAACTAGGGCTGTCGCGGTTATGGAATTTCCCTTGCGGTAATGTTGAGTGGCTTAATAGCGCGATATGCGATATTACCGCCATTTATTTATTTAATTTATATGTTTTTGTTGCTATATAAATAAAGTTTACGATGTGGACAAAAACGAGGCATTTTCAGTAACCATTGTAACCGAAACTAAACAGCCTCTACACAGTATGCGCATTGAAAGACTTTTACTCAGCGCGCATATTGTTATGACAACGGACTTTGAGCGAGTCATTGAACCGTTCATTCAACGAACACGTTTAAAAAAGCTGATTCATTGTGGCCATCCTATGGCCAGTGCGAACGCAAGCAGCAAAACCGAGTTTGGGGGAGAGTAGTTCTTAGAAGTGGACAGTTCCTATAACTAAGTTCCTATAACTACTTGGTCGGAAAGCGGCTATTGATTCAATGCGTGACTCACTGATTTTATTTCGGCTTCCTTGTGTTGTGGGATACTGACCAGCGCTGCTTCTGACACGCATTTATGGGAAAATACCCGTGAAGAGAACGTTAAAATGATGATGCAACAAATATTTCGCTTCCCTTTGACACGACAAGCTTTTCACGACTTCAAAGACAGACGCAGGTAATTGCACGCGCTCTGCCGATCTCTCCCATTCACTGTCTGTGTGAAGCCTGTAGGCTACACATCACCATGATAAACAGTCTTGTTATCATTATGAACTCGTTTAACATTCAATAGACATGCATTAAGTTCAAAACAAGAAGGGTATAGCCTTATTAAAAAAAAAACGTGAATATCGCGGTTGCTGCGGTTACGTGCAATCCTCTGCGGTTGACTTGTCAGAAGCGCGGTACTACAATATTGCGGTTACCGCGACAGCCCTAATTTCAACAAGTGTAATTTAAAGGGATATTTCACACAAAAATGACTCCCTCATGTTGTTCCAAAGCCGTAAGACTTTCGTTCATCTTTGGAAACAAATTAAGAATTTTGATGAAATCTGAGAGCTTTTTGTCCCTCCATTGGCAGCTACCACATAATTACTACGACACTTCAAAAATTTCATAATTAGATTGTAAATCTAATCCATATGAATTGAGCGGTTTAGTCCATACATTCTGGAGACTCGATCGCTTTATATGATGAACAGATTAAATTTAGGCTTTTTACATTTAAACCCTGATCAGAGAACAAACATATGATCAAGTGAACCTACTTGAAGCGCAAGAACAAACCTCATTGGTTCTTGCAGAAGCTCAAGCATGTTCGCTTGACGTGCGTTTCCCACAACTGATGTGCGAGCTGCTGAATGTTTATGTGAATCGAAGCATAAATTCAATCGGTTCATCATATAAATCTGTCGTGTCTCTTCAGGTTATTTGGACTAAACCACTCAATTCATATGGATTAGTTTTACAATCAAAATAGTAGTTGTGTAGCAGTCAATGGAGGGCCAGAAAGGTCACAAATTTAAAATTAAAAAAGGATCATCATTCGTGTTCCGAAGATGATTAAAGGTCTTACTGGTTTGTAACGACATGAGGGTCACATTCACATGCAACACTAACCCTCTTCGGCATTCAGAGACCTCTTGTCCTCACAGTTTGTTATGTGATGAGACAACTCATGCCTGGGAATCAAGTGTCTGGCATTGAAGGGGCAGGTCTTTAGCTCACAGGCCAGTTTGGGGTGGTTCTGAAACAGATTAAGCAGACATATAAAGTTAAAACAAACCAAGGCAGCAGTATTTTCACAATTTAAATAAATGCATGAAACAATTGAAAAACGTTTCCCCTGCCATTAACCAACCTTCCTGCATTTGAGAACATGAAAAGGGAAGCGAGAGGCTCTGATCTGGTGGTTTTTGTCATATGGGCACTGCACAATCCTGTTGGGGTCTGCGTCATCATTGAGAGTGTCTTCACCATAAGCTTTGGAAACAAGATACCAATCAAATGCAATATAGAAACTGATCTTATTTGCTTCCAAAAGAAGCATATCAATTTTGATTAATGTGACTTAACAGCATTTACATGGACAGCACACGATAACTCAAACACGAATTTTAATAGTATGACGGTGTACATGTGTTGCGTATACACTTCGATAGTGAGAGTTGCGACTAAAATGTGAATCAACATGTCTTAATTCGATTTGAGTTTAACGTTACTTCGAATTTGACTTCAAACGGATTGATGCAATCAGAAATAATATCGGAATATTGTTGTCCAGGTAAACGTAGTGATATAACGTTAGCGAATCCAAATATTAAATTACCACTCTGATCAATCGAGCTGTTCGGTTGATTTTCAGAGTTTATTCCAGTCGGACCAACGCTACTTCCAAATCTAAAAGTGGCCATGTTTGCTGCTTCTGGAGTTGTTGGTGGTTGTGGCCTTGCGTCTTCCGTTAGCTCTGATGAAAATTGCACCCTAAATGAAACACGCCAAATGTGAAATTAAAACAACAGCAAATATCAGTTGAAAAGCGGCACGTGCTGAGCAAGACGACCAAGCCACTTGGGAAAGTGCGAGGCCAACAGTCATGAAATTTCAAACAAAATCATTCGCATTAACAAATAATGCACAACTGGAAATAGTTCCGCGGTCAAAAAGCACTTTATTTAACGTACAACTTTATTTTGAAGTCTGAGGGATTGCGTGTGCACGCATGCTCACCTCCCTATCTGCTGCCTGCAATCAACTGCGATTGTCAATGCTCTACTTATAAGCCTTAATTTGTTTCGTCATCATTGTATTATTCTCAGGTATTATAGTCAATACTGTATTTCTAAATTCAGACATGAAACAAACAAAAAATATACCTAACGTTAAACGGCTTTATATAAAATAAAATAAAACAATTCAAATATTGGCAACAAATGGGAGAATATATTTTTTTGCCTGTGTTATTTTTTAAAAGTCATAAACGTGCGATTCTGAGGTTTCAACCAAAAAGTATATTACCTGATTAATCTGTAATCATAAACCTCAATAGTGTGTTTTTAAATTTTGCTCATCATTTTTGTCAAGCCAAAAAAAAAAAAAAATCGTGGTGCGCATTGGTTACTGTTTATGTGGTTAGTGCAGCAGCCAATCACAGTGCCGCGTGCGCATTCCATTCTCTGAAGACACGCCCACGTAGAACTGTCAGCTGCTCAGTTCAAGATGGCGCTGTCCTGTAGAGGGATATGCCGCGGGGCTTCTGTGATCTTACTGTATGGAAAACAACCTGTCGGGTTTAAAGCAAGTCTCTGCACACCTAGATTGGCCTCGACAAAATCCAGGTACTATTTCATATAAATTCATATAAATTATAATTTATAGGCATCGATCATTTGTAGGCATATTACCTTAGCGAGGAGAGTTTGCATATAGATGAATCGTTATAAAATGAATCTGAATATGCTAAATAGTACTTGACAACATTAAGTATTTCTCATTGTCTATTTTCCATTTAGTTTTTGTAGAAATAGAAAAAATGCATTGTGTTAATCAGGAAATACAGTACATGCCCTGCCCTGTTGTGACAGCAACACAGCATCTTTTATTATCTATTATAATATTTATATGTATTTCTGTCTGTCTGTCTGTCTGACTGTCTGTTTGTCTAGTAGTTTGTGGTTTGTTAGACACTACTCACCTTCACAAGCAAGACATGGGATTGGTCGAAGCATTGTGTCAAGCCTGAAGTGGGTCAATGAGAAGTATGAGAGATTCTTGCAGCGGCGCTTTCCTCGCTTTTATGCTCTCTATCACACTTTCATGAAAGGTATATTTAAAATAAGTACTGGATTATTAAACCTTAAACAATCTCCGGAAGATGTGTTATGATATAGGTTTGTGTTTTTTGCATAAAGGGTTCCGGCTCCTGTTTCAAGATGCTCAAGAAACGAGAAGAATCATGACTCGCATGTTCAGTAACAGCGTAGAGCACCAGAATGGGCCTTACCGTGATTTGGAGAAACTCAGGCAGGTGGGTTGAAGAACTGAAGCAGACATTTACGGGATATATTGCTGTCATAAGCTTTATTAAAATGTATTTTTTGGGGGGTGTTGCTTTCAGGTCCGCAGGGACTTAATCAAAGCCATTCCCTTGGTCATCATATCAATACCTCCTTTTGCCAACTATCTGGTCTTTATCCTTATGTGAGTATTAATGCTACACTGCTGATTATTCTGTGTAGTTTGCAATCTTGCATCTAATAAATACTATTTATTGAGTATTTATTATCTGTCACTTTTCCATTCAACAATCCATTCGTCCTCAGGGATTCAAATTCATTTCAATTCAAATTTATTTTGAATTGAAGGTCCATTACGAAAGAAGGTACATTAAATACACAGGAGCTAAACCATTTAGGGCTTTATAGGTCAGTAGTAGTACTTTGTAATTGATACGGAACTTAATAGGTTAATTTCTTAATTCAAGTTTCTTAATTTCAAGTGGCAGCATATGTATTGAGAATAGCAGAGGGCCTAACACCGATCCTTGTAGCACTCCATAGTCTACTGACGTTATCTTCTTTTTTTTCCCATTTAAACAGACAAAATGATAACGGTCTGATAAGTATGACCTAAACCAGCTTAATGCCTGTCCCTGAACACCAGTGTAGTTTTGTAGTCGATCCAAGAGTATTTTATGATCTATAGTGTCGAACGCAGCGGGATGTGAAGAGTGTAAATCCAAGGGAAAAATGGATGTGTTTTAAAATAAATGTATTATCATTAATCACAATTCTGCCCTCTAGGTACTTCTATCCTCGCCAGCTTCTGATCCGGCACTTCTGGACCCCACAGCAGCTGGTGGAGTTTCAGGGGGTGTACCACTCCCAGAGAGCACAGCACCACTGGGCTATAGTAAAGGGGCTGGAGAACATGTCCACTTCTGTCCACGACAGCCGACTTAAAAGCCGCCTCATGGAGCTCTGCAGTAAGGTAGTCTAAGCTGATTCATGATATTACTTATGTGTATAATTATAGCCTTTTTTAGATGTTTTATTCAGATGTTGACTTTTTAATGAATATAAATGTGTCTGCAGGTGCGACATGGAATCCATCCTGTAGTGTCTGATGTCCATGCAGTGAGAACATTGTTCTCCGGACCTCCCTTAGGTATCAAGAAAATGTATGCAGATCAGATGGTGAGCTCCAAATAATCAGCCAGCTGCTCAATGAATTGCATTTTAAAAGTTTAAAATCTATTTTATAAATGCATGTTATAAATCTTATTGTGAACAATTCATCTGTGCATGTTTCATTCATCCAGTCAACTGGACCTTCAGATGAAAATGAAAGACGTCTCTCTGGTGACATTTGCAGGACCTCCCCAGACCTTTAGGGGGCGTTTAGACGACTCATTTTCAACTAAAAACGGAAAACTTTTTGGCCGTTCAAATCAATTACACGACAATTGTGTTCTTGTGGCCTGAAAACGCAAGTTTTTAAATGTAAACCACAAAAACATGAATTTGTGAAAACGGTGAAGTCATGCGAATGCATATTATGTGTTCAGTCTATTGGCACGTAGTTTCTTTACAAGGCCACATCGACAAATACTGGCCTGTTATGCTTAATACAGTGTTGTTTGTCGTTTTTTGCAGATCCGTGTGAGCCGGGATCCGTTTGACAACGTTGTTGTCTGTACGCAAAAAAAATAATAAATAAATGAAAAGGAAAGCAAAGGAAACTTTTCCGTTTTTAGTACATCGTTGTCATGTTCATGTACCCTTAGTTTGTTTAAACCCCTCCTCTGTTAGCTTACGTTCATCCGCCTTCAGTGCAACACACACACATCTCAAAATACAATCAACAATGAGGCATAGAACCTTGTCCCTACCTTTTTTCAATAATCCGTTACACTTCGATGTACGCCACATAATGGAAGAAAATCTCTGTCACTACTTCTGTTTCATCATGACTTAAAAATGTCTTTAAAATGTAAACAAACAATCTTACTAATCTAGTTGTCTAATAAACCTGACTGAATATTACATTGGCTCTTTGACAAAATGCAAACATAAATATATTTTCAGAGACACCTCTGTCCATTGCTTTTCCTGACGCCCCGCCTCCCAGCCTTCTGGATTGGTCACCGCTTGAACGGTCATGCCTTAGAACTCATGCAGCTTGACCGCTGCCTTGTTCAATTAGGCTTGCATCAGTTAAACGACACAGAGCTCAGAGAGGTCAGAGGTCGCTCCTTATTTTGCCCATTACATTCTGTCAGCAGCCTTTATTTTGTGACTTTTTTAAGGATAATGCGTCACTTTTACGTCACGTCTCCTAGGCATGTTACGTGAGAGGGCTAAATCCAGAGCTTCTGAGTCCCGCACAGTGCCGGGAATGGCTCACACAGTGGTTGCAGTTCTCAACACACCTCAAAGGTACGTAGGCCATGAAATCAAGGCTATGTTCAGAAGAGTTATACTATACTTATATTGTATTCATTCATATATATATATATATATATAAATATACTCACCTAAAGGATTATTAGGAACACCATACTAATTGTGTTTGACGCCCTTTCGCCTTCAGAACTGCCTTAATTTTACGTGGCATTGATTCAAAAGGTGCCTTTCAATTATTTTTAGATTAATCTTGCATTTGTAAGACATTATCAGTAGTCAATTAAAGCCATTATTAAACAGACGTCTACTTAAATACATTTTTCTGCTGAAGCCACCACTGTTGGGAATGGTTTCACATGACTTTTTCAGTGGTCAGATGGTACAATTTAGGAATGCTTTACCAATCTGAATCTCGTAATTACGGTAATTCCGACATGGTGTGAATGCAAGATTACCATTTATGCAGTGTGTATAGTGTGCACTATGTAAATTTGCTAGTATGCAATAACCATTTGACAAAATGCCTAGTTTACAACACAGTGCATTGCCCTGGATACTCTCTCCCACAATACAATGCAGTGTGATAAATGAATCATATTTTTTAATGGGTCATTATGGGGTTTTGAAACTACTTTCATGACAATTGTGTTGCACATTCATTGTGGCATTGCGTTTACTTCCTGTTTCATCAGAGTCAGAGACTTCCCTCTATCTGCACTGTATGGTACTGCTCACTGTAAACTACCCTAAACAACCACGTCACTGACCTCGAGAGGAAGCAGACGACTCCACCACCACACCTAAAATGCACCATGGGAACAAAAGAATCTTGTATGCAAATTGAGGCAGTGCAACACAAGCTTAATTATACCAGTCCTTTGGCTTTGTTATGTTACTTTTGTAATCAAGGGAATTTTATGTTTCTGAATAATTATTTTTTTTAAAATGTTGTGCTTTTTTGGAGATTTTGTTTACTTGAGTGAGGAACAGACAGGAGAGACATTGTCATTGGAAGATACCATTGAGATTCTGTAATTCATTTTTCTTCCATAGAGACAGGGTGACAAATACACTGCAAAACAATACACAGTGAGAGAGGTTATAACAACGAGACAAAAAGCACACTGAACATGTGCCAAATGCATCCATTTGGAATTAAAGCTCGTTGGTCTTGAGACATTCATTCTAAATATAGTTGTCCGTGGAGCACAATCATTTGTGAATTGTTTTGTGGCATTTTGTATATGTTTAAAATCAGCACTGAACCAAGGACAAGTATCACCTATCTTGTTCATTTTTCTGGTGTATTAGTAAGACAAACAATCACTATTGGGATGTTTAAAATGTAAAG